TAAACGTTGGTAGTAGACTATAAATTCAATGATGCATTTAATTTTAAATACTTACAGCACCCGTCGCTGATTAATAGCGAACAAGCCTGTAGGTCCTGGACTAACGCTAGTGATGTCATATGGATTAGCTGCAGCATTTTCAGGAAAGACTCCCGTAATATCCGATGAAGCAATTATAACTGTTGTTGTGACAGAATTTTCTGCTACGACAAGTGGAGCTGATGGCCAGCTGATCGTACAATCTATATAATAATAATTGAAATGAAGTTGTAATGCAAGATTCTATCATCGTGGCTCGAATAAATGATATACCGTGGTATCGACTTCTAGCAAAGAGAGAAAATGATACACAAGGAATATTCATAAAAATTTGGTTTATTGGATAAATTGCCTATTAGATTACATGCAAACACATATAGGCACAAGGGTAGCATTTGCGATGGTTCACTATTTTTAGCAAATAAAGTAAATGATGTCGTACCTTCATCAACATTTGTAATGGTAACAAAAACTGTTTCAGCAGCACTAGTAGTCGACGACTGATGGCAAGTTACAGTTATTGTTTGAGTTGATGCATCATTTTCATAGTCTGGCGGCGTTGATCCAACACTCAGCTTTTTGAATAGTGGAAAGGCATACAAATAACTGTATTGTTTTGTATTACATTGTATTGTATTGTTTTGCGGTGTAGTGAAGTGCAGCAAAGTGTAATGCAGTTAAATTCAATACAGTGTAGTGTAGTGTAGTGTAGTGTAGTGTAGTGTAGTGTAGTGTAGTGTAGTGTAGTGTAGTGTAGTGTAGTGTAGTGTAGTGTAGTTTGACAATCACAACCGACCTAGTCCATACAATTGAATCCTATAATACATAGAATGCCATGTAGCAAATGCACAGTGTATATTGTTGTTTTAAATTACCTTGTGTGAATTAGAAACATATTCAGTTGAAAATGTAACGTATTTCAACTGTACAAAAAAGGCTCGTTTAATATTTCTTCATTTTCCCACTAACAATATTAATAGTAATGTATGTAATATGATTCATTGGAAATCTATGACATAATACTGCCTGTTAACAAAATTCGACGTTGATTTATTACATACCGCCCCTGTGCTTGGATCAATGTCAAACAGCGTGGTTGCACCTGGACTAACTGAAGTAATACTGAATGCCGGAGTATCAGCTGTTTCAGGGAAGGTTGATGTCAGTGATGATGCTGCGATTATCTCAGTTCCAGTAGCTGTATTCTCTGCCACAGTAAATGGCCCGCCTGACCACGACATAGTACACACTAGAAAATTTATGTAGACCAACATTGATTCAGTCACCAACAGTGCTGCCAAATTACATTCATTCGAAATTAAGCATTCTACACATAATTAATTTCGGAGAGTACTTACATTCAACTTCATCAGTGAAAGTTACATCAACTGATACACTGCTTCCATCAACACCTGTAGTTTGTTTACATTGCATATCAACAGTATATGTATTTCCACCATGAGTTTCAAAATCAGGATTAGTACTCCCTACCATCAACTGCAATGGGAAACACGCAACTTAGAAAAAATACATACATTTAAATTGTAGATAAGATTTTGAATTGTCTAATCATACTAAGCAATTCTTATTGATTTCTTACCACGCCTGTAGTTCCATCAATGTCAAATAACGTTGCAGGACCTGGTGCGGATACACTGGCTATAATAAACGCTGTACCAGCCGCTCCTTCTGGAAAATCTGATGTGATGTCACCAAATGGTATGATGGCTGTGGCCGTTGCTGAGTTTTCTTGTATGGAGTATGTAGCACTTGTAAACGAGAGTGTACACGCTGTGAAATGTACAACAACAGAGATTATAGTCAATTTTTCGCTATTTTTGGGAATAACCGGGTTTAATAGTATTTGACTTAGATTCGAATTACTTACCTTCATCCACATTGTCGATATTCACATCAACTGTATATGCAACGTTATGCCCAGATGCCTGGTAACATGTCACAGTTATTGTTTGGGAAGTAGTATGCGTTTCAAAATCTGGTACAACACTGTCAACTGATATCTTGTGAAAAAATAAACAATATTCAATAGATATAATATTAGTTGCAATTCGCGAGTTTTGATTTCACCACCATATTGTAAAAAATAAAGTGTTACAGTATATAGCTAAACGTTGGTAGTAGACTATAAATTCAATGATACGTTTAATTTTAAATACTTACAGCACCCGTCGCCTGATTAATAGCGAACAAGCCTGCAGGTCCTGGACTAACGCTAGTGATGTCATATGGATTAGCTGCAGCATTTTCAGGAAAGACTCCCGTAATATCCGATGAAGCAATTATAACTGTTGTTGTGACAGAATTTTCTGCTACGACAAATGGAGCTGATGGCCAGCTGATCGTACAATCTATATAATAATAATTGAAATGAAGTTGTAATGCAAGATTCTATCATCGTGGCTCGAATAAATGATATACCGAGGTATCGACTTCTAGCAAAGAGAGAAAATGATACACAAGGAATATTCATAAAAATTTGGTTTATTGGATAAATTGCCTATTAGATTCCATGCAAACACATATAGGCACAAGGGTAGCATTTGCGATGGTTCACTATTTTAAGCAAATAAAGTAAATGATGTCGTACCTTCATCAACATTTGTAATGGTAACAACAACTGTTTCAGCAGCACTAGTAGTCGACGACTGATGGCAAGTTACAGTTATTGTTTGAGTTGATGCATCATTTTCATAGTCTGGCGGGGTTGATCCAACACTCAGCTTTTTGAATAGTGGAAAGGCATACAAATAACTGTATTGTTTTGTATTACATTGTATTGTATTGTGTTGCGGTGTAGTGAAGTGCAGCAAAGTGTAATGCAGTTAAATTCAATACAGTGTAGTGTAGTGTAGTGTAGTGTAGTGTAGTGTAGTTTGACAATCACAACCGACCTAGTCCATACAATTGAATCCTATAATACATAGAATGCCATGTAGCAAATGCACAGTGTATATTGTTGTTTTAAATTACCTTGTGTGAATTAGAAACATATTCAGTTGAAAATGTAACGTATTTCAACTGTACAAAAAAAGGCTCGTTTAATATTTCTTCATTTTTCCACTAACAATATTAATAGTAATGTATGTAATATGATTCATTGGAAATCTATGACATAATACTGGCTGTTAACAAAATTCGACATTGATTTATTACATACCGCCCCTGTGCTTGGATCAATATCAAACAGCGTGGTTGCACCTGGACTAACTGAAGTAATACTGAATGCCGGAGTATCAGCTGTTTCAGGGAAGGTTGATGTCAGTGATGATGCTGCGATTATCTCAGTTCCAGTAGCTGTATTCTCTGCCACAGAAAATGGCCCGCCTGACCACGACATAGTACACACTAGAAAATTTATGTAGACCAACATTGATTCAGTCACCAACAGTGCTGCCAAATTACATTCGTTTCAAATTAAGCATTCTACACATAATTAATTTCGGAGAGTACTTACATTCAACTTCATCAGTGAAAGTTACATCAACTGATACACTGCTTCCATCAACACCTGTAGTTTGTTTACATTGCATATCAACAGTATATGTATTTCCACCATGAGTTTCAAAATCAGGATTAGTACTCCCTACCATCAACTGCAATGGGAAACACGCAACTTAGAAAAAATACATACATTTAAATTGTAGATAAGATTTTGAATTGTCTAATCATACTAAGCAATTCTTATTGGTTTCTTACCACGCCTGTAGTTCCATCAATGTCAAATAACGTTGCAGGACCTGGTGCGGATACACTGGCTATAATAAACGCTGTACCAGCCGCTCCTTCTGGAAAATCTGATGTGATGTCACCAAATGGTATGATGGCTGTGGCCGTTGCTGAGTTTTCTTGTATGGAGTATGTAGCACTTGTAAACGAGAGTGTACACGCTGTGAAATGTACAACAACAGAGATTATAGTCAATTTTTCGCTATTTTTGGGAATAACCGGGTTTAATAGTATTTGACTTAGATTCGAATTACTTACCTTCATCCACATTGTCGATATTCACATCAACTGTATATGCAACGTTATGCCCAGATGCCTGGTAACATGTCACAGTTATTGTTTGGGAAGTAGTATGCGTTTCAAAATCTGGTACAACACTGTCAATTGATATCTTGTGAAAAAATAAACGATATTCAATAGATATAATATTAGTTGCAATTCGCGAGTTTTGATTTCACCACCATATTGTAAAAAATAAAGTGTTACAGTCTATAGCTAAACGTTGGTAGTAGACTATAAATTCAATGATACGTTTAATTTTAAATACTTACAGCACCCGTCGCCTGATTAATAGCGAACAAGCCTGCAGGTCCTGGACTAACGCTAGTGATGTCATATGGATTAGCTGCAGCATTTTCAGGAAAGACTCCCGTAATATCCGATGAAGCAATTATAACTGTTGTTGTGACAGAATTTTCTGCTACGACAAATGGAGCTGATGGCCAGCTGATCGTACAATCTATATAATAATAATTGAAATGAAGTTGTAATGCAAGATTCTATCATCGTGGCTCGAATAAATGATATACCGTGGTATCGACTTCTAGCAAAGAGAGAAAATGATACACAAGGAATATTCATAAAAATTTGGTTTATTGGATAAATTGCCTATTAGATTACATGCAAACACATATAAGCACAAGGGTAGCATTTGCGATGGTTCACTATTTTAAGCAAATAAAGTAAATGATGTCGTACCTTCATCAACATTTGTAATGGTAACAACAACTGTTTCAGCAGCACTAGTAGTCGACGACTGATGGCAAGTTACAGTTATTGTTTGAGTTGATGCATCATTTTCATAGTCTGGCGGCGTTGATCCAACACTCAGCTTTTTGAATAGTGGAAAGGCATACAAATAACTGTATTGTTTTGTATTACATTGTATTGTATTGTGTTGCGGTGTAGTGAAGTGCAGCAAAGTGTAATGCAGTTAAATTCAATACAGTGTAGTGTAGTGTAGTGTAGTGTAGTGTAGTGTAGTGTAGTGCAGTGCAGTGCAGTGCAGTGCAGTGCAGTGCAGTGCAGTGCAGTGTAGTGTAGTGTAGTGTAGTTTGACAATCACAATCGACCTAGTCCATACAATTGAATCCCATAATACATAGAATGCCATGTAGCAAATGCACAGTGTATATTGTTGTTTTAAATTACCTTGTGTGAATTAGAAACATATTCATTTGAAAATGTTACGTATTTCAACTGTACAAAAAAGGCTCGTTTAATATTTCTTCATTTTCCCACTAACAATATTAATAATAATGTATGTAATATGATTCATTGGAAATCTATTACATAATACTGCCTGTTAACAAAATTCGACATTGATTTATTACATACCGCCCCTGTGCTTGGATCAATGTCAAACAGCGTGGTTGCACCTGGACTAACTGACGTAATACTGAATGCCGGAGTATCAGCTGTTTCAGGGAAGGTTGATGTCAGTGATGATGCTGCGATTATCTCAGTTCCAGTAGCTGTATTCTCTGCCACAGAAAATGGCCCGCCTGACCACGACATAGTACACACTAGAAAATTTATGTAGACCAACATTGATTCAGTCACCAACAGTGCTGCCAAATTACATTCCTTTCAAATTAAGCATTCTACACACAATTAATTTCGGAGAGTACTTACATTCAACTTCATCAGTGAAAGTTACATCAACTGATACACTGCTTCCATCAACACCTGTAGTTTGTTTACATTGCATATCAACAGTATATGTATTTCCACCATGAGTTTCAAAATCAGGATTAGTACTCCCTACCATCAACTGCAATGGGAAACACGCAACTTAGAAAAAATACATACATTTAAATTGTAGATAAGATTTTGAATTGCCTAATCATACTAAGCAATTCTTATTGATTTCTCACCACGCCTGTAGTTCCATCAATGTCAAATAACGTTGCAGGACCTGGTGCGGATACACTGGCTATAATAAACGCTGTACCAGCCGCTCCTTCTGGAAAATCTGATGTGATGTCACCAAATGGTATGATGGCTGTGGCCGTTGCTGAGTTTTCTTGTATGGAGTATGTTGCACTTGTAAACGAGAGTGTACACGCTGTGAAATGTACAACAACAGAGATTATAGTCAAACTTTCACTATTTTTGGGAATAACCGGGTTTAATAGTATTTGACTTAGATTCGAATTACTTACCTTCATCTACATTGTCGATATTTACATCAACTGTATATGCAACGTCATGACCAGATGCCTGGTAACATGTCACAGTTATTGTTTGGGAAGTAGTATGCGTTTCAAAATCTGGTACAACACTGTCAACTGATATCTTGTGAAAAAATAAACAATATTCAATAGGTATAATATTAGTTGAAATTTGCGGGTTTTGATTTCACCACCATATTGTAAAAAATAAAGTGTTACAGTCTATAGCTAAACGTTGGTAGCAGACTATAAATTTAATGATACATTTAATTTTCAATACTTACAGCACCCGTCGCCTGATTAATAGCGAACAAGCCTGCAGGTCCTGGACTAACGCTAGTGATGTCATATGGATTAGCTGCAGCATTTTCAGGAAAGACTCCCGTAATATCCGATGAAGCAATTATAACTGTTGTTGTGACAGAATTTTCTGCTACGACAAATGGAGCTGATGGCCAGCTGATCGTACAATCTATATAATAATAATTGAAATGAAGTTGTAATGCAAGATTCTATCATCGTGGCTCGAATAAATGATATACCGTGGTATCGACTTCTAGCAAAGAGAGAAAATGATACACAAGGAATATTCATAAAAATTTGGTTTATTGGATAAATTGCCTATTAGATTACATGCAAACACATATAGGCACAAGGGTAGCATTTGCGATGGTTCACTATTTTAAGCAAATAAAGTAAATGATGTCGTACCTTCATCAACATTTGTAATGGTAACAACAACTGTTTCAGCAGCACTAGTAGTCGACGACTGATGGCAAGTTACAGTTATTGTTTGAGTTGATGCATCATTTTCATAGTCTGGCGGCGTTGATCCAACACTCAGCTTTTTGAATAGTGGAAAGGCATACAAATAACTGTATTGTTTTGTATTACATTGTATTGTATTGTGTTGCGGTGTAGTGAAGTGCAGCAAAGTGTAATGCAGTTAAATTCAATACAGTGTAGTGTAGTGTAGTGTAGTGTAGTGTAGTGTAGTGTAGTGTAGTGTAGTGTAGTGTAGTGTAGTGTAGTGTAGTGTAGTGTAGTGTAGTTTGACAATCACAACCGACCTAGTCCATACAATTGAATCCTATAATACATAGAATGCCATGGAGCAAATGCACAGTGTATATTGTTGTTTTAAATTACCTTGTGTGAATTAGAAACATATTCAGTTGAAAATGTAACGTATTTCAACTGTACAAAAAAGGCTCGTTTAATATTTCTTCATTTTTCCACTAACAATATTAATAGTAATGTATGTAATATGATTCATTGGAAATCTATGACATAATACTGCCTGTTAACAAAATTTGACATTGATTTATTACATACCGCCCCTGTGCTTGGATCAATATCAAACAGCGTGGTTGCACCTGGACTAACTGAAGTAATACTGAATGCCGGAGTATCAGCTGTTTCAGGGAAGGTTGATGTCAGTGATGATGCTGCGATTATCTCAGTTCCAGTAGCTGTATTCTCTGCCACAGAAAATGGCCCGCCTGACCACGACATAGTACACACTAGAAAATTTATGTAGACCAACATTGATTCAGTCACCAACAGTGCTGCCAAATTACATTCGTTTCAAATGAAGCATTCTACACATAATTAATTTCGGAGAGTACTTACATTCAACTTCATCAGTGAAAGTTATATCAACTGATACACTGCTTCCATCAACACCTGTAGTTTGTTTACATTGCATATCAACAGTATATGTATTTGCACCATGAGTTTCAAAATCAGGATTAGTACTCCCTACCATCAACTGCAATGGGAAACACGCAACTTAGAAAAAATACATACATTTAAATTGTAGATAAGATTTTGAATTGTCTAATCATACTAAGCAATTCTTATTGGTTTCTTACCACGCCTGTAGTTCCATCAATGTCAAATAACGTTGCAGGACCTGGTGCGGATACACTGGCTATAATAAACGCTGTACCAGCCGCTCCTCTGGAA